CTTCTTGCACTGCTTAATTTTAAAAATATATGTAATCCTCCGAATCGCTTGTTGAAATAATGATTCCAAATGAAATATGTTTAAATAGAAAACTACATAATAAATAATATCATACTTAACTATCTTCATTTTCGGTGACTACAATCATATCACGTTTAATTCTCTCTACTTTTCCACCCCGCACAAACGTAAAATAGTAACGATTTAGTTATGTTTCAATTTTTGCCGAGGCATTTGAAAAAGATGATATAAGATGTATGAATATGGTTAGAACAAAAAGTTTTACAACAATTAATTTACCTACTAATAAAAGATATATTTGACTCCAGCTTGCCAAAATTAATTTGCTTTTATTATCTTCTTCCTATGAGTAATTTCCACCACTTGTTGAAAGTCTAAGGAAACTATTGATTTTCTTTTATTAGAATATTTCTTGTTTCCAGTCAAAATAGAGTCTGTTTTTCTTGGGTGACATTTAAGTCCAGATAATAGGAAAAAGCCCTGCAAGATATTCACAGTTGCTTTAGGAGAATGGTACGATCCAAGAATAAAAGCATCATCAGTATACAGACCTAATTTATGCTCACTGATGTCAAAGACGAGACACCGTAATCCGCATGTTGCCTTGAATTTATAGCTAATATCTCAACACCCATAATAAACAACTCTGACGCAAGAATATCCCCTTGACGACTACAAAATGATAAAATATTTATATTATTCATAACACTTCTTTTAAAATGTTTACAAAACAGCTTAAAGTTCTTGCAAAAAGAATCACCAAAGTTTAAAGATTGTAAAGCTTTTTCGATAAAACACTTAATTGAGTTGAAGGCTTTTCGAAGTCTACTCACAATAACAAGCCGTTTCTATTTTATTCTCTATGTGATCTATATTATCATACATAAGTTTGGCATTTTATCTAATGAATCTACCTTTCATAAATACTTCTGAATATCACCAACTGTTGATGGAAAAACATTTTTAATCTTAAGCTCACGAAGCTACTTATAGTTAATATTTAAGAGTAATATAGGCCTAAAAGTTTTAAAATATATTCTGTCTTTGTCTTCGTTAGGTAGACATGTGATGACTACTTGAGTATTTTAAAAGCAACTCATTGTGTCAATTTGAATACCTTAAAATATTAAGTAAACAATGTTGGTTAGCGTGGACTTCCAGGACAAGAAAATGATACGATTCCTTCTTTCAAGACATTGTTTATTAGAGTCGGTCACGAGTACATTTATTCAAGCATCGGAAAATGCCAAGGGCTGAACCATTGCAGAAACAGCTTTTATTCTAGTTGAAATATTTTTCGTCTCTTAAAATTTTGCCGAGGTCGGATTATTTAGGTGAGGCGCGAATCATGTGGCATTGTTCAAACCTCAATGATATAATTTTGGCCGTTAAATAAATCGCAATTCCTGATTTGCTAAGTTAACAATTAGGTGTGTGTTTCCATGCGATGTTTCGTCTTTTATAAAAATGTATTCCACAGTAAAAATTAGTCAGTCTACGTTTTCTGCGGAAGGCATGAAATCTTGACTCCGGGGAAGGTAGTGATCATTTTATTCCTTTCAAAAGGGTCCAAGAGATGAGTGTTGGAAGATACGAGAGACGAAATAAGAGCGAAACAATAGCCCTACGTGGATACATAGAAGGAAGGCAAACCATCTTGCGGTCAATGGCCTGTCAGAGTCTGGATGAAACATATTCGATTTTATAAAGACATTTATCATAAACGAAATTATTACTTGCAATTTTAAAATGACTGTTGGCAATAATTTTCTAATGCATGTGTGTATCTACTCATTACTTTGATATGTAATCTTGTTGATCTAATTTATTAAACTGTTATATTTCATATCAGTGGGCTTATATTTTTCTATTTTACATCTCTTCTCAGCTCTCCGTTTATTCTATTTATTAATTTAATATATTTTTATTTACTCGATTTGAGCTATTACACCGATGTCGGTTATACTCAAGACATCGATAACAACCAACTCATAACAGTGAAAGCGACCTAATGTCGAACTTCATCGGTTCAGGCGGATATATCAAAGCTAAGACTGGGATTATATATGAACTATTTAATTGCATAAATAAGAAAATATCAACATTTAAGCCACTCAACTAGTTTATTTTTCTAACTTGGGCGTATTATTTCTAGTGACTGCGGGGAACACTGATAAAGAAAGCGCTGAATGTATTGATAACGACTAGAATCTACGATGTTCTCACACTAGAGTATAAACATCAGATGTTGATGTAGGTTATGTTTTACAGAGATCAACCTATGATAGTATCACAGTAGCTTGTCTTTAATGATAAGAACAGAAGTTTGAATCTTGCCCAGCAAATCATACGCAAACCTGTTCGTTCGATGTTCAAAGGATATAAACAATATAAGCAAATGTGATCTTCTCCACTCATAAAAAGATACTTCGAATCTTTATTCTCACTCTTATGAACGTCAGTATTGCTCATTTCACCTCGATTGTAACTGAAAATAACAACCCAACTCGACTTGTGTATGTCAGCAAGTCGAATTACAATTTATTCTTTAGAAGAGTGTTTTCTTTCGGTCAAAAGTTTTCTATCCAAAGTCACCTGGCAATCGATTAAAATAGTAATTGCGTTTTCATTGCAACGTGTTCTTACTAGACATTACAAAATACTCGATAAATGTAGAATTGTTCATATTTTCTTCGGATTCATTGGATTTGTACTTCACAGTTAACAGCATGGAGCTTGCAACAGGAGTCCCGATCTTTATGTAAATGATTGGTATTAGTCATGTTTGGTTGGCTCGATGGAATTGTGTGCATTCATGTAGAACTTTGCGACCGGTTTAGTTGGAAAACTCTTCTAGTATTAAAACCATCATCATGTCACATTTATGGGCATTATACAAAGAGTTTTAGAGTAATTTTAACTCATAGAGAGAATCTACATCAAATGGAGTATATCCATCTCCAGTTGTTTGTAACTCCTGGGACTCCCCGTTCCCCTCCCTTTCCCTCCCTTCCCCACCTAGACTTATAACTTGCGCCCCCAGCTCCTACATTTCCCTTATATTATTATGTCAGACTGATAAGGTAAATGAAACCGGGATATATATATATATATATATATATATATATATATATATATATATATATATATATATATATATATATATATATAGTATGTATATATGTATATATCTATATATGTATATATGTATATATATATATATATATATATATATATATATATATATATATATATATATATATATATATATATATATATATATATATATATATATATATATATGATGACTTACGCGCTTCAAACCATTCGATGACGTTACGTTATAATCTGTTCATCCAGAAACAAATACAGTACAAAATAATCTATGTTGTATGGAGAAAAATGCTAATTTAGAGTTAATTTATGTAAACTTGGCAAAACTCAATTTAAGGTCACTATTATATTAAAAAGAAGAATGTCCCGGTACTTAACAACGTGTTAATAGAGTCTGAGTAATGTATTGCTACTGAAATAAAATTGATGGCAATTTCTAACGTTTAGGTTTTTTACCTGTAAGACAAACTATCTTTGTCGTACGTGAAACATTAGGGTAATAACATTTGTAAACAATTCTTCATAGCGTTATTGCAAATTCGCCATTTAAGTTTTTTCATCAGTTGTTAATTTAGTGAGTTGGGGGGGGGCTTGAGTGATCGAGTTGTTTGAAGCACTGACCGTTACGGATCACTACCATCTCACCTCTGCCTGCGTGAGTTCGAGTCCAGACTCGGCTAACGTGGGTAAGTGAGAAAGCCTGCCAGTTGCTTCTCGTGGGTCGGTGGTTCTTCACTGGGTTTTTCAGGGTTCTTTCTCCACCATTAATACTGGCCGCCATGTATAACTTATCTTGTGCTTTAAAATGGCGTTAAACCCTACAACAACTACAACAACAATATTTAATCAGTTAATAATGGTCTACGTGCTATGTTGTGTGCAAGATCAGTTCCCATATGTAAAGTGTGACAGAATCTTTATATTCTATAATTATGCTAATACAAAATATGTCAATTGTTTTGCCAGTCTTCTATAAAATACTCTGTGGTATGAAATTGTCAAATTAAAAGAAAACAATTCTTCCTAATGTCAGTACAAGAACTAGAAAAACAAACACAAACAATAATACGAAAACCATCAAGCCCAACAAATAGTTTGAATATAGCAGGAATGTAATTATTGACGGCAGTTTTTCTGATCGGCGCCACCTATGGTGATACATTATAAAACAGCACATTATGATGATATTGTTTTAAGAGCAAATAATTTTACGATTATTTATGACTTGCTGGAAATAACACATATGAAACATGTCAAATGCAAAATTGATTGTAAGTATTAAATATAATAGACAAAATTAAATATGCAATTTGACGTCGTATTATGTCTATCTTGTCAATTAAAAAATATATGAAGATTAGCGTAAAAATCCAGTTTGTCACTGTTCTACGTTCATAGGGTTCGCTTAAAAGTCTATTTCTCTCTCTCTCTGTCCTAACAGAGGTTCACGAGCTCATTGAGCCGAAGTATTAAAGCCATGTTTACAACTATTTTGTTTATGTTTGTTTCTTCCAAGTTCTATAGCCTAAAATATTGCTTCCACGCTTAAACATAATCCAAAATTTCTGTTTTCTGATAAAATTCAGTTTTAAAAATGGGTTTTTAATAAAAAAAACTATGTGTTTGCCCAGAAGCTGTGTGCGTGTCTGTGTGAGTGTGTGTATGTGTGTGATTTAGTTTTTTAAGTAGCTTTAACAATTTTTCAGTCATATCGGTACGATATCTTCAGTATGGCAATTTACAGAGATATATAGCACTGGAGCATCATGCCGCATCACACCAGGCCGATGAGACCTATCACTAAGCTCTTAATGCTGAGCGCCAAGTGAGGCTGCTGTTAGTACCATTTTTTTAAGTCTTTTGTATGATTCAACCGGGCTTCGAACCCGCACCCTCTCGCATCCGAGGCGACGCTCTAACCACTAGGCTACCGGCGCGGTCCCCAGAAGTTTTAACAATGATCATATATCTGATACTGTTCCTTTCATGTTCTCATGAACATGATCTATGATTCCTACTTTACCTTGTTCTCCATATTTACAATTGTTTTGAAGGGTTTGTCTTTCAAAAAATTTTCTGCAATTTTTTTTACATTTCGTACTTTAACGTTAGTTGATCTGGTAGAGCCATATAGCCACCCACTGTGCTGAGGTGTCGTAAATCAATACTATACACATATCCTATATATTTTTTCCAGTGTAGATACCACTTCTAAATATATATGTATATTATGTTTCCATCAGTCACTGAATTTCAATTAAACGGATACATTTAAAAGTGCCATGCAAATAAACATACGAGTGATATTGTCCTAAATAACTGAATTGATTCGATATATCATGTACTAACATTAATTGATTCAAATTGTCATTAGGTCTCACGTTCTTCATTGTGGCAAATTCCAAGAAAATGGAATCACAAAAGTAAAAATAAATAATATTCATTTTAGAGGTAATTGTTATTATCTCATATCAGCATATTTGTATGTATACGTGCACAGTCCAACGATGTCAGTTTCAAGCCAAAAGTATTATTGTTAATGATATAGGGTTGCATTGCATTTACCTTCAAGTTTTGTAGAGGTTAAAGGATCTTAATATTTAAAATCTGTCTTCAGTTAATAAATGTTCGCACCTATTATTTAAACATATGCTCATCACAAAGGCAGTGAATCGACAACTTCCCCTTGATTTATGATCTCCAAACTACGCCTTAAATGTTTGATAAATCGGCCATAACGCAACACGATCTTTCAAGAAGTCGATCTTTAACTGTACTCTTTCAGGATTGAAACTTTGCTATCTTGACATGCTTTATCTAGAAAGTTTGGTGAACTACTCTATACTGTATGACCCGTATACTACTTGTTTATACATCGAATAACTAACTACAATTTCAGTACATATAAAAAAATTGCTCCCGAGGTCCTGAAGTTTGAAAATTTTCACAGCCAATGAAAAAGCACACCTGCTTATCAATACAAGTTTCGAAATTTCTTCTTCAGTGCTACGACACAAAAAGAAATGATTAAAACAACTTTAAAATGATGATAAATTATACCATAAACAATAGGTTGATAATTGTTTATCTAATGACTTAGAACACGAAGTTTTATTACTACAAAATATATATGTTTAATTAAGCACGTGCTGATGTCAAAACATCAGATACATAAAGTCAGCTGCTGTGGTTATGATAAAAATGCTCATGCATACCTGACCCTATATCTACTCACAATTACATCCATCGAACATTTTTATTTTAGGTTATTGTTTCTTTCTGTTTCCAAAAATGAAGCATTTGTATGTAGATCTTTACTGTGAAACGGATTAATGCGAAATACATGATGCTTGTAAGCGTGCCATGCCTGCAAGTAAGACAAAAGCAGAGGAAGAACAAAGACCCAGAACTCATTGCGCATATCCATAAGGTTCTTCAAACATAGTAATCTTCAACATTTATTTACAGTCTTTTTCTGCAATTTACCTTTATCTCCTAAAACAATATTGCAATAATACGTGTCTTTTGAGAAAAAAAAAAACAAAAACAAATATGTATTTTAAAGTACTTTTCCCATCCGACATGAAGCATGCCCAATATATATGAATTATTAATATACTGTATCGTGTGCAATATAATCTTATCTCACTTATACCACTACACTATAAAGATAAGATTAATACCCTTTAACCAAATATCCACAAACCGTTTTGTCGATAAAACTACCACAGGAGTCTGCAGTTTTATCAACAAAGCACGACGAAATTTCTGACTACATGAAATCACCTTAACGGTATTATATAATAATAAAGGAATGCAGATCGATCTCAACCCTCCGCTTGATTCGAATTTTCTCACGCGTCTTTTATCCTTTCAGAATAGCACGAAGACTGAAAAACTACACATATCCATTAAACAAAAAACAGTAACGTATCTTTTCATCACTCTTGGACGACCATTGCATGAATCCAATCCGGCGAATTAACCTTTATTTTTACCATTACGGTCACCAACCCTGTGAACGTGAACCACGTGAGGAAGTAACCCATTTGTAGGAGCTTCTACTCTGCAGTAATTATTCGTTAAGGTCTAATAATCGTTCCGAACACGGCGCAGAATCTGTTTTCTTTTATTACTAGGAAAATTTATAATATTTTCTTCTTCACTATCATTTTCTGATATGAAATAAAAACTCAGTATAACAGATGATCTTACCAAGTGGCAATCTCTAGAAATCTATCCAACACATTTTTAATCTTCCGGATCCATCATCCATCTAGGCTTGAGTTTTGAATATGATGACGTCATCAACCGTTATTTGTACTATCAGAACTTTAACTACACATTTATGTTATGGAAATTGATACAAAAATTATAAAATGATGCAATCTGAAATTAAATAAACCAAGTTAAACATTTTATCTTGTAAAATTAATTTCATGACGTTATTTAGCCCGTGGTACAAATGGGCTACTTCCTCACATGGTTCACGTTCACAGAGTTTGTGACCGTAATGGTGAAAATAATGGTTAATTCGCCGAATTGGATTCATGCAATGGTCGTCCGAGAGTGATGAGAATATACGTTACTGTTTTATTTAATGGATATGTATAGTTTTTCAGTGTAAATGCGATTCTGAAGGGATAAAAGACGCGTGAGAAAATTCGAATCGAGCGGAGGGTTGAGGTCGATTTGCAATCCTTTATTATTGTATACTACCGTTAAGGTGATTTCATGTAGTCAGAAATTTCGTCGTGCTTTATTGACAAAACTGCAGATTCCTGTGAGGACTACATACCAAAATTTTCTATTGTTGGTTTCACCAGCTGGATCGGCTTGTATAAGGTAGCTCATTATATAAGACGTTTGCATATTTTCAACCGGAATTTTTATTTTTATAGCTAATTTCATTTCCTTTTTTAAGTGAGCTGCTCTTTTGAAATTGTATTATATTAGTAGCATTTCTTAGCAAGTTTATATCAATTTATTACCAGGAAATTACGGAGCTGAGCTCATGTCTGACAACAAGAGGAAGCGTACTTGATAGCCAAATGAAGTTATCAAAGTAAGTTTGGCCAACTTAATAATTAGAATATTAATAGTCCTGAATACAAGCAGACACATATAACAGCGTTCTTTTCCTACTGAGAACATGGATACGTAGCACATTTTAAGACGTACTGCAGAAAATGACAATTATTCTGTAGGAATGTATTATAGTAACATTTGTGAGTACAAACACGTCATGTGTCGCAAATTGCCTTTATTTTCATGAAGTACACCTATATTCCTTAATCGTTGTATTTATGATTCTAAACATTGAATATAATGAAAGGGTTCTAAATAATGTTATCTAACGTTTCCTTTATTCTAAATAATTTAATGTATCTCTAAATTTGACATAAATTCATGGCCTAATATCCAAACGTAAACATATAACATATATACCTTAAAATTCTTATTAGAACAGCATAGCTCACCTATGTATGTCGACTTTGAGATGGATTGAAATGATATTCGCAAGTGATATACATTTTGTTCTGCAGTAACATTAGAATCATACAAATAAATCGATTCCTTGCAGGTCGTATTAATGAGAATAATAAAAGTTTGTTTTCTTAGCTATGCCATATGTGAAGGCTTGCATATTAGACAATTCATTGGCACCTTCCGATATGGTGTACAATATTGATTGTAGACATGCGACATGCCGATAACAATGGAGCCGGCTCAATATTTGTGTCTGCCATAGACAGGGCAGAGATACATATAACTTTTAAACGTTTGTCAAATGAATTATGCTAACAAAGCATCTGTACCTTACGTTCCTAATAGCAAACGCCAGTAAAAAGAACGTGCTTTGGGTCCCTCTAACTTTTGTGTGCAATTGCTGAAAGTGATAACAATAAAAGTACTATACACTTGAACACTTGAAAATGATAATTTAATCAGTTTTAGTTTGAGCCTCAAACATTGTCAGGGTCACCCCCTCTCTTAATGCGATGCTTTAACTCCTTTAACGGACAGTTATATATGGAGAATTAATATCAAAATATATGTTAAATAAATTAAGACCGATCCGGTGTTCTAGTGGATAAAGTATCCCCTTTGGATGCGGGAGGTCGAGGGTTTGATCCCCGGCCAAGTCATACCAAAAACTTTAAAAAATGGTATTAACAGCTGCCTCGCATGGCGCTCAGCATTAAAAGGTTAGTGTTAGGAGGCGTCGGCTTGGAGTCAGGACAATGTGACTGTGGGACATCGTGCCACAAGTCCGCGGTATGATGCCCTAGCGCTATACATCAATATAAACTGTCACACGGCAGACATCGTAGCGAAATGACTGAAAATTATTAAAGCTATGTTAAAAATTTAATTTGCACACACACACAAAAATACACACACACAAATCAATTACCGTATTGAGAATTGAACCCTACTGTGTATTTTACGGCATTAGTCGTCTTGGCTGTATGGTTCCAACCCCCATACCCTTTCGACTAAGCGCGCATAACTTAAGAATGGTTGTAACCTAGTCATTGATATTGATATTGGTGCTTAACATTTACTGCAGGTAGTGAGTGCGAAAACAATACTGTGTCTCCTTTCGACTAAAATTACTACTGGACATTAACAAAAAAAATCTTGAAATCAGAAAAGACCAACGTATCTATTATTTGTTTCCTTTTTAATTTTATTGAAATTAAAGCTAATTTGTGCAATGAATTCGAAAACTGTTATTTCGAATTAGAACTTAAGAATCAATTTTATTCAAAAATATAAATGTTACACGGTCTTCCTCAGCTTGTAAATGGAATGACAATAGTAATGTTTGCTCAAATATCTCCAGTTGGACGTGTTCCAGATAGAAGTAAGACAAGGAACAAATAAAATTATCACAGTGTATGTAAGAGGAACTGAACAGTTTTTTCTTT